GAAGGGGTTTAGGCTGAAGTCAAGACTTATTTTGCCTAACCCCTTTTACAACAACAACTTATCCTGACTATTTACAATAACATGTAGACAAAAATTAATCCTCAACAATCAAAATTATGTCATACTTCCACTATCGCTTACTTTTCTTATATTCTTCATTCAAGTATTCTATATTTTTCCATAATGTTTAACTTATATCTTTTCTTAAATCCCTTAATAGTTTTAGAGCTCTTAAGTTGAATAAGAAGACTGTTCCATAAATCTACTCCTTTAACTGATAAACATCTTACTGTTTCTGTAATAATCACAATCTGTTCTGGATGGACAGAGCGGAAGGAGGTAAAGATGAAGAGACCACAGGAAATCACCTCAGAAAACACCAGTCAATGGTTAACTGTGTGTGTGTGTGTGTGAGAGAGAGAGACTCACGTTTTTGCTTGCGGTCGCTGTGGTAAGCTCGTGGTCTGTAGTGTGTGTGAGTGTGTGTGTACAGCTGCTCCAGGTCCTCCTGCCAGGTGAAGGGGTTCAGGTGTCTCAGTAACTCCTCCACGGTGCTCACACTCGCGATCTCGTTGTCCAGCGCCGACGCAGAAAAAGGAGAATCCGTCCTGGGAAACCCAACAAGATCCTACAGGAACACACACACACTTCTGCATCGGCCAGCAGGGTGAACATCCTAATACACATCTGAGAGATACGAAACACACTACTGCGTTGATAACAGTGGTGTGTGTAAGTCAACCTTTTTCTAATGCAACATCTCTCTAAATCTCATAATCATGTGTTAACTAAGAAGTGTTCATTACTTGCGTTAAATTACAACATTGTTTAAATGAATAGCTTTTTCGCTAACTGTGATTGTGTGTATGTACATTTCTGAAATGCATAATGTTTCCTCTAAATTGTAATGTGGACTCATGCACTTTCTGTAAAGCTGCTCTTTGAGATGATGCGTGTTGGGAAAAGAGCTGTACAAACACACGTCAATTTAATTTTCATTAACTCATTACAAGTAACTTGAATTATGTAATCAGATTACTTTTTCAAGTAATTGTAGTAAGTAAAGTAACGCATTACTTTTTTTCCCATTTATTGACTGAAAGCTCTCTTGTCCCGATGTTGAGACATATCCAAGTGTAGAGGCGCTGTGCGTGTGTGTGTGTGCGTGTGTGAACATGATGGTCATTATAGTTGTAGACTAAATGTGAGAGTGCATTTACTCTCACTTGCACAAAAAAAAGCTTCAATATTCCTCAAAATGAATAAAATCAGTGACATACAGAATCAGACTACTTTAAAACACTCAATAAGTAAATATGTTAAATAAAACATGCATTTCTATGCATTTAATCTCACTTTATTGACCAATGTACTTGCTTCTGACTGATGATTCAGTTGATTTTTGCTTTTATTGGTTCCTGTTTCCTTCAGCTTGAGGAATATTATTTCATTTTTGGTGTGAAAGGGTCTTTACATTTGCCCCAAAATATAACTTTTTTGTTATATATATATATATATAGAGAGAGAGAGAGAGAGAGAGAGAGAGAGAGAGAGAGAGAGAGAGAGAGAGAGAGAGAAGAGAGAGAGAGAAAAACAAGCCTAGCCCAGGTGAAAAAAACAAACAATGCAAAAGTAACGTAAAGAAATGCAATTAGATACTTAAAGGAGTAGTTCACTTTTAAAAAAACTTTTGCTGATAATTTACTCACCCCCATGTCATCCAAGATGTCCATGTCTTTCTTTCTTCAGTCGAAAAGAAATTAAGGTTTTTGATAAAAACATTCCAGGATTTTCTCCATATAATGGACTTACATGGGGTCCAAGCGGTTCAAGGTCCAAATGAGAGTTTCAGTGCAGCCTCAAAGGACTTTAAACGACACCAGACGATGAATAAAGGTCTTATCTAGCCAAATGAATCTTTTTCCGAGTCATTTCGTTCACTGAATCAACCAAATGACTCGAAAAAAGATTTGTTCATTTTGAGTTAACAGGAGAGTCACGAACGCGTGCGCATCACAGAATAGAAAAAGGCGAGTATTTGTACTTATAAAACTTAAAATTTTTGTCTTTATTTTTGAAAATGGCCAATCGTTTCGCTTGATAAGACCCTTATTCATCGTCTGGTGTCGTTTAAAGCTGCACTGAAACTCTCATTTGGACCTTGAACCGTTTGGACCCCATTGAAGTCCATTATATGGAGAAAATGTTTTCATCAAAAACCTTAATTTCTTTTCGACTGAAGAAAGAAAGACATGGACATCTTGGATGACATGGGGGTGAGTAGATTATCAGCAGATTATTAGTAGATTAGATTATTATGCATTACTTTTCCAAAGTAGCCACTGGTTGGTAATACTCACGGACGTCATTGTAACTGCTTCCCAGTTGGTCATCGACGCGAGAGGGGAGCTGTCCTGGAAAACAGATTTCAAACTTTAGTTTCATTCATTGTTCACAGAAACGCTGGTGTTGCTCAGGGAAAGTCATTATCTGCTCTGATTAATCCTGTGCTGAAACACACTCACAGTCAGCAAACGCTCGCATCACACCCATCACTCATTATGTCATCACGAGGGGCGGAGCTACAGACATCACAGCGCTGGCATTTAAAACATCAACGCTAAAGATGGACGTTATACACACGAATTAACAAGACCATCAATCCAAGTCCACTGTTACACACACACAGAGATGGACAGAACTAACCTTAAACTTCGGACAGTCTACTCAGATCCATTACAATGCACCATGATCGTGACATCATCACTAAATTAGCCCCACCCCACACAACTCTAGTGTATAATAATAATGGAGTTATTTTGACACTTAAACGCATTTAATACTTGGGCAAACGTTTTTGGGCAAATTAAGCAATTTGAGCGAAATCAAACACACACACACACACGTTTACTTAGCGGATTAAATGTTTACTTAGCAGACGTGGTTTATCTAAATGTGGACTCTCCATAGACTTAATGGTTTTTATACTGTACAAACTGTATATTCAGTCCCTCCCCTCTCACACACACACACACTAACCCGACCCTTAAACCTACCCATCACACACACACTTCCCTGTGCTGCCACTCTTGTTACATAAATCTACTCCTGTGGCAATGCAAACAATAGAACGAGGTCAGAGGTCGTGGGCGGTCTGTTATGATGATGTTTCCCATCAGAGATAACGTCTGTACGGGCCTCTGATGTCTCACACACACACACGCGTGTTCAGCAGAGATGTCCGGAGCAGAGCGGGAATGTGTTAACGTCAGGAATACCGCAGATTCAGGGAATCACACATGACGGATCCCGTCGAACACACTGAGCCTCAGAGCTTCACTCTCCTCATCGACCTGCTCTCAGACTCGTGTTTTATGAAGGAAAGTGGTTTCATAATTTTTCATCACAATATAATGACTTGCCCGCCTGTGAAAGGACTTCCACTGACAACCATGACCATGTGGGAGGAGAGAATAACATTATCACAGCAAACAATGCATGAAAACACACTGAACACATCACTCACTGTTGCACAGCACCACGCTTCACTAGAAAACTGATATTTACATTATTAACATTTTTATGTATTTTTAATCAAATAAATGCAGCCTTGCTGAGCAGAAGAAACTTTTTCAAAAAACTAATATTTTAAACTGGAGTGTTAATTCTCATATTATTATAAGTGCTGGGCAACGATTAATCGCATCCAAATAAAAGTTTGTTTACATTATATATGTGTGTGTGTATATATATATATATAAATTTCCTCTTAACCCTTGTGCATCCTTATGGACATTTTTGTCATTTTCAGTTTTGTTTTTTTGATCACTTTGTCTGTGTTAAAGCTAACTGCAAAAAACTTGGCACAGGTGTGTATTTTTATTGGAATTTTACTATTTCACCGTCATTTTCTTAAAAAAATATTTTTTGCATTAGGTACAAAAAATACTCCCTCTCAGCACCTTATGGACAAAAATGTCCCCATTGAAACCCATTAAAACTGCCATTTTTAATCCCCGGTTTAGTTAACTATAAAATTATGCAATCTTTGTTAAGAGGCTTTCATTCTGATGGCAAGGCTTCAAAATGTTATTTTTTACTATTTTTAATCAGATGGTGTCATTTTTTTTAAGTTTGGCCTATAAAACAAACATCGCTTTATTCCTGTTTTCTGGTTCGGCATATTATAGAGCCAACCTGATAAATTATGCAACAATATTTGTGTGGTTGTGTTGGTATGGATGTCAGAGTGTGGTTAGTATGTGTGTTATAAAAAAATATGTGTGTGTGAGTGCGCATGTGTGTGTTTGTAATACTGAGAGAGAAAAACTGCAAATAACTAATCCAATCACTGTGAGCTCCAGTAGGGTTTTGCTGCCACCCAATGGGGGAAAATATGTTACTACGCCCAAACAAACTGTTACCGAAAGCTCATTTTAGATTTATGGCTTTGATTTTATTGTAGTTTTGAGTTCAACCTGATTTAAAAATATATATATATTATATAAAATATTTTTTTATAAATAATTTTCATAAACTTATACCTATATAACTTTTTTTTGGATTTACTTTTTTTTTTTTACTTCTTTAAAATGATACCAAACTTAAGTCTGTGCTCCAAAGCGTCACATTTTTATGACAGTTTTTTGACATGGACATTTTTGTCCTCTTTTTACCTATGTGTAACTTTTTTTAATTGATGCACAAGGGTTAAATATATACAAGCATGTGTGTGTGCATTTATATATACAAATAAATTTATTATGTTAACACAAACTTTTATTTTGGATGCGATTAATTGTGATCATTCGTTGCCCAGTGCTAATTATAAAATTAATAATGTGACCTTTTACGGCAATACACTAATTTATATGCACTTAATAATCGCACATGTAATATCCCTACAATTACTTTCATGAAACAAGCAAATTTCAAAGTTAAAGAAACACGATTTCCAGCTGCATAGAATTAATATTCGACGTAGAATTATGTCAATGCATTTTTCAAAGCTAAATATTTAATTTTAGGTTCGATTTTTTACACAGGAAAATTTAATCTGGTAATTATATCATGGATTTTCTCTAAATAAAGTTATACTGAGTTCAATTCTTGGCTAATATGTTCTGTAAATCAGGTCAACATGTCTTCAATAGAACATAAATAGAAACAGAAAAAAAGAAATGTGCATCCTATCAACATTCAAGGAAAGCGCTCGAATCACAATTAAAGATCGTGAACAAAAACGCACAATTATGATTTACAAACATCCCAACAGCGGTGTGTTTTACGAGCACATCAAACGCCATCATCTTCCCTGCAGAAAAACTCTCCACGTGTGTGTGTGTGTGTGTGTCGTTACCCGCCACGAAGGCCCTTAACGAGCGCCAGATTCTCAAGAGTTTTAACACGAGCGATGACAAAACACGCTGTTCGCTGTCAGCTCTTGTTATGGACCTTCTCCGTGTGTGTGTGTGTGTGTGTGTGTGTGATAAAGACAGAACTAAACTCTCAGATCACTCCACATTACATTACCGCAGTAAAACACACACACACACACACACCAAACACTCTGACAGTCTCTCACTTTCCCGTACTGCTCTCTCACACCTTCATCTGTCGTTGTTTATTCCCTCTCTCTCTCGTTCTGCCTCGGGAAGAGCGATGTCTTAATTAAGCCACATTTCTAAAGTTCATTTGAGGCAAAACAGCATTTCAGGAAAGAAGCACACGTCTGCGTCTTTCCCCCAGCTTTTAATGTTGTTTATGAGCGTACGTGTTGTTTTTAATACGCTTTAAGACACACCGTTCATAAGTGGACAGCATTGTTGAGTGTTTCCTCCTGAACCAAAGACAGTCTCAAAAACACGCTTTGAAATCGCTGGTGTTTCTGACGTCACAAACCACCTTGTAACCAATCAGATCAACGTGTGATCGTCAACCGGTGGATGTCTGAGCTGAGGGAGTGAGTGGAGGCGGGGCTCATTTGCATATTTAGAGAAACGCGCATACTAAATATTGCTATATTCAAGCTATTTTAAGGCATGACGTCATTTTTTTTTTTCAAGGAAAAAAACTTTAAATATGTATTTTCGGTGATCAAAGATGAGTTTTAAGGGATAATAATTGACTACACGGGACTTTAAAGGATTAGTTCACTTTAAAAAAAACATTTGCTGATAATTTACTCGCCCCCATGTCATCCAAGATGTCCATGTCTTTCTTTCTTCAGTCGAAAAGAAATTAAGGTTTTTGATAAAAACATTCCAGGATTTTTCTCCATATAATGGACTTCAATGGGGACCAAACGGTTTAAGGTCCAAATGAGAGTTTCAGTGCAGCTTCAAAAGGCTTTAAACGACACCAGACGATGATTAAGGGTCTTATCTAGCCAAACGAATCTTTTTTCGAAACATTTCATTCATTTTGTTCGTTGAATCAACTAAATGAGTCGAAAAAAGATTTGTTCATTTTGATGGATGAGTTTTAACAGGAGAGTCGCGAACGCGCATCACAGAACAGAGCAAGACGAACATTTGAGCTTATAAAACTTAAAACTTTTTTATTTATTTTTGAAATGTCTGATGGTTTGGCTAGATAAGACCCTTATTCATCATCTGGTGTCGTTTAAAGCCCTTTGAAGCAGCACTGAAACTCGTTTGGTCCCCAATGAAGTCCATTATATGGAGAAAAATCCAGGAATGTTTTCATCAAAAATCTTAATTTCTTTTTGACTGAAGAAAGAAAGATGTGGACATCTTGGATGACATGGGGGTGAGTAAATTATCAGCAAAAGTTTTTTTTTAAAGTGAACTACTCCTTTAAGTGATCAAACAGCAAGAAACAAAAGGTTAATGGAGCACATTTTACACGCAAATACTGTTTCAGGTTTTCAAATGTAAAATCGTTCCGTCACCAATTATTTTTCAGTGTAGTAACAACGCCTCATTGTCCATTAATCTAGTTTATGTCCAGCGCAGGTGTCCGTTTTAATTCTGTTTCCATGAGCTCAAATGGAAGCAAATGGGCAGATTTTTAAACATATTGCACATTTATGCTAACAGCTAGCACCACATATTTGCCGATTTGACCCGTGTGGAGAAAGAGCCATAAGGCAGTCGTAAAGCAGGATGGCGTTAGTCCCAGAGAATACTGTAAAATATTTCTCCGTCCATCTGCTATCGTTCCTTCATCCACCAGCATCCGCTTCGCACACTACAATAAACACATCTGATGATATAAAACAGAGACCAACTACTAACTTTCATTCACACGACACCACTGGATCCACTAGGAAGACACTTAATCAAATAAAGTTTATAAATTGTTGTGCGTAATATTTTGGTCACACTTTATTATGTGCTTGCATGTACTACAGTAACTAAGCCTTATTACACGTGACTTTTCATATAACCATTTGACAAAACAAAAAACTCATGAAATAACTTAATATTCAACTTTAACTCGTTAATTTAGAAAAACAGAGCAAAAACTTATTTTCCATTAAAATTATCTCATAATTCTGAGATAATTAACTCGTTAATTCAGAAAAACAGAGCAAAAACTTATTTTCCATTAAAATGATCTCGTAATTCTGGGATAATTAACTTGTTAATTCAGAAAAACGGAGAAAAAACTTATTTTCCATTAAAATTATCTCGTAATTCTGGGATAATTAACTCGTTAATTTAGAAAAACGGAGCAAAAACGTATTTTCCATGAAAAATTCTCGTAATTTGAGATGATTACTCGTTAATTCAGAAAAACAAAGCAAAAACGTATTTTCCATGAATAATTATCTCGTAATTCTGAGATGATTAACTCGTTAATTCAGAAAAACAGAGCAAAAACGTATTTTCCATGAATAATTATCTCGTAATTCTGGGATAATTAACTCGTTAATTTAGAAAAACAGAGCAAAAACTTATTTTCCATTAAAATTATCTCATAATTCTGAGATAATTAACTCGTTAATTCAGAAAAACAGAGCAAAAACTTATTTTCCATTAAAATGGTCTCGTAATTCTGGGATAATTAACTCGTTAATTCAGAAAAACGGAGAAAAAAACTTATTTTCCATTAAAATTATCTCGTAATTCTGGGATAATTAACTCGTTAATTTAGAAAAACGGAGCAAAAACGTATTTTCCATGAATAATTATCTCGTAATTCTGAGATGATTAACTCGTTAATTCAGAAAAAAAAAATGGAGCAAAAACTTATTTTTCATTAAAATTATCTCGTAATTCTGGGATAATCAATTCGTTAATTTAGAAAAACTGAGAAAAATCTTATTTTCCATGAAAAATTCTCGTAATTCTGGGATAATTAACTCGTTAATTCAGAAAAACAGAGCAAAAACTTATTTTCCATTAAAATTATCTCATAATTCTGAGATATTTAACTCATTAATTCAGAAAAACAGAGCAAAAACTTATTTTCCATGAAAAATTATCTCGTAATTCTGAGATAATTAACTCGTTAATTCAGAAAAAACAGAGCAAAAACTTTTTTCCATGAAAAATTCTCGTAATTATGAGATAATTAACTTGTTAATTGAGAAAAACAGGGCAAAAACTTTTTCCATGAAAAATTATCTTGTAATTCTGAGATAATTAACTCGTTAATTCAGAAAAACAGAGCAAAAAACTTATTTCCATGAAAAATTCTGTCGTAAATCTGAGATAATTAGATCATTAATTCAGAAAAAACAGAGTAGATTATTTTTCCTCAAGTGAATGCAATACGCTTCTGTAGCTCTAAAACACTCCAAAGTGATTTATAAATAAAGTTGACTTGACTTAACTTAACTTGCTCCACACAGAAGCTTGATCTGTCATTATGGAAAGTCAAACTCACCAACAGTGAATAGTAGATGTTGAATCCTGGTCTCGCTACGAAGTAATCGTCTGATTTGAAAGTGATTTTGATGAGGTTTGTTTTGGACGTGATCCGTGATGGAAATCTTTTCCCGCACCAGCGGCCCCAGATGATGGTGCTGGTTTCAGAAATATCCTCCACTTCCACATAATCATACCTAAAAACACATACACACATTATGCTTTTTCAGATATTACGTTTCATGTAGTGTGTGTAATATATTGTAGCCGAGGACTAAAAGAGTTTTAGTCTGCGCTAGTAAATGATACGGTATCATCGTTACTGTTCCAGAAGATCCAGAGCTTAAAATCAGATATAGTGATGGGCGTTTCATTTCTGACACTCGCTGTAAGTGGTCGACCAATCAATGCAGATGGAGCCATCTGACCAATCAGAGCAGAGCAGCTCTCAGAGAGGCGGGGTTTAGAGAGACTGAATCTGCAAACGAAGCGTTTCAGACGCTGAGAGAAAAGAGCTGATGCTGAATGGGATATAATGAGAAAATAAAAGTGTTTTTTGACCTTGGATGCGTGTAAAACTATTGTAGGAGAGTCCAAAAAAACATAAGGAATCTTTAAAATAGCATAATATTGACTTTGAAATGAAATAACTCAAAATGCATGTGAAGACAATAGACTGTTCCTACTGTATGCTTTGTGTACAGGGAAGTGTTATTTTTAGTATTATTTATATAGATTAGTTTTGTTTTTATTTTAGTCATTTTAGTAATTCAACTTAAATGTAAACTTAAAGGTTACATTAAAAAAAATTATAATTAAAGATTTTCATATAATATTTACATTTTAATTTAACTTTATTTCAATTAAGGGCAATGAAAATGTAGTGATATGAAATGTGATTATTTTTATATTTTTATGTGATTATATATATACATAATACATTAAGATTCCCTTCTTATTTTTCCCCTCTTAAACTTCTCTTTCTCATCCTCTAAATTCACCTCTTCTCTCATCTCAGATTTTTTTTCCTGTTTTATTTTTAGTCCTGACGTCTCGTGGGTCTTTGTAAAATATCGGATTTGCAGTAAATCCCTCTAACCTCAAGGACAAACTCGCAACTCGAGACTCTCTCCACACACATCGTGGTCAGATACTCGCTCTGATTGGCTTTCTGCTCATTAAATATTCATTTCATGTTTTAACTGTTCAGGCCATTATTTCTAGTCCAGAAATGCAGAATCAAAACCACAGGAATCGGAGAACTAAACCTGTTATTCTCCACCACACGTCACAACACGAGTTAACCTCGTATGACACTAAGCTCCTGGATCACGATCCTTTATGAATTAATCAAATTTTAGAGGTAGATGTTTGTTAAACTGTTAAAAATTTACCAGCTAGACCAACCCAGATGGAAGTAACACTTTCTCTGAACAGCCCTTTAAAACTCTTTAAACAGATCCAATTAATTATTCATGTACTCATTCATTTAGAAGCTCCGCCCTCACCTGCAGACTCCATTCTCAACCTCCACTTAAAACTCTTAGATCTAATTAATTATTCAAGAGCTCATGATTCCGAAGCTCCGCCCTCACCTGCAGACTCCATTCTCAACCTCCACTTAAAACTTTTAGATCTAATTCATTATTCATGAGCTCAACCGTCCAAAGCTCCGCCCTCACCTGCAGTCTCCATTCTCCGCCTCCACTTAGTTTTTTGGATCTAATCAATTATTAATGAGTTCAGTCCAAAGCTCCGCCCTCACCTGCAGACTCCATTCTCCGGCTCTTCCAGTCCAAACTGAGGGTCGAACTCCAGCAGGATTCGTGTGTGTACAGGCGACAGCAGTTTCCATGACAACAGCAGGTTGCGAGGGTACGAGTTGGGGAAGCGCGGGCTCTGGACGTGACCTCCGCTCTTGACCATTATGACCTCTTCCTTCCGGTACAAGTCTGTGAGGCGATTGCTGTCTGTTACTGGTCACAACTTGGATAGGTTAGTGTTTACTCTTGGAGACAAACAAACACACAGACACACACAGATATATACAAATACAACATATACAAAGTTAAGAATCCGTTTCATTTCAGTTCATCCCGGTTCAGTTCCAGGATCAATTCAGGTCAGAAAATTAATCTAATTCTCTTCAGGAAAATAGACTAAATCACTTCTAATTTTCTAAAGGAAAAGAACCAAAGTCACGTTTGATCCAAGGCAGACAAATCGGCTTCTGATTGGATTTACAATAAATAAATAAATAAATAAAAAAAAAAAATGTATTTCGCTTCTAATTCTGTTCAGGAAGTGAAATCACTTTTAATGCTCTTTGGGAAGTCTGAACTCAATTCTGAAAACTCAGATCTGAATTCACTTCTGATTCTATTCAGGAAGATAACATAATTTTCCTACTTCCAACTAATTTTCCTATTCTTTTTTTTAGGCAAAAAAACTGAAAATCACATTCAATTTCTTCTCAAATCCAAAGCAAACTTCTAATTCTGTTCAGAAAGTGAACTAAATTTGCTCTATGGGAAGTTATATGAATTACATTTTTTTTTCTTCAGAAAAACAACTAGTCACTTTAGACTCTCTTCAGATCCAGAAGCGAATTGAGTTTGCATTAACTATCGTCACAAAAGGAACTTAATTCACTTTTAATACTGTTCATGAAGAGATGTGAATTCACTTCTAATTCTCTTCAGGAAAAACTAAATTCACTTCTGATTCTCTTCAGAAAAAGAAAAAGAAAATTCACTTCTGATTTGCTTCAGGAAAAGAAAAGAATTCACTTCTGATTCTCTTGGGGAAAAGAACAGAATTCACATCTGATTCTCTTGGGGGAAAGAACAGGTTTCACTTCTGATTCGCTTCAGGAAAAGAACAGGATTCACTTCTGATTCTCTTGGGGGAAAAGAACAGAAGTCACTTCTGTTTCGCTTCGGGAAAAGAACAGAATTCACTTCTGATTCTCTTGGGGAAACAAACAGAATTTACTTCTGATTCTCTTCAGAAAAAGAACAAAATTCACTTCTGATTCTCTTTGTGAAAAGAAAAGAATTCACTTTGTATTCTCTTGGGGAAAGGAACAGAATTCACTTCTGATTCACTTCAGGAAAAGAAAAGAATTCACTTCTGATTCTCTTGGGGAAAAGAACAGAATTCACTTCTGATTCGCTTTGGGAAAAGAACAGAATTCACTTCTGATTCGCTTTGGGAAAAGAACAGAATTCACTTCTGATTCGCTTTGGGAAAAGAACAGAATTCACTTCTGATTCGCTTCAGAAAAAGAACAAAATTCACTTCTGATTCGCTTCGGGAAAAGAACAGAATTCACTTCTGATTCGCTTCGGGAAAAGAACAGAATTCACTTCTGATTCGCTTCAGGAAGAGAACATGACTCACATGACTTTCTGAGAAAATAACCTGAATTAACATCTGAAGGAATCAAACCGAAATCCCTTCTGATTCTCCTCGGGAAAAACAGTCAATTCGCTGTTAGATTTTGATCCTAATATCTGAACTGAATTCACTGAAATGAAGCACAGAATCTCCGACAGAACGTAAAACACACAAACATCAAACACAAGCAACACAAGGAGACAGACAGAATTAGGTGGCCCCACAAAGGTAAAATATTAAAAATAGCAGAAGTTATAAGTTATGCAACAGGAAAATAAAGACCATTCAATGTGACACTTCATGAATCTTTAAATCAGACACATTCGATTGTTTTAAAGAAAGCTAAAGTATTCATGACACACTAATCGAAAGTGACGACGTCGGCGGTGGCCTGATCCAGTGTCAAAATGATGCAGCCATGATGATGTTTTCATTTCCAAAAGCTCCTTGACTCTCTCTCTCTCTCTCTCTCTCACACACACACACACACACACACACACAGATTACTGATCCATGCATGCAGCAAACACTTGTGATTATGGCTATACTGCAGGAACAAGGCCACCATCCATCACCATGACAACCTGCTGACCAATGAGCTTTTAAATGAACTTAACACACACAGGAATAAGGCCGCTGTAGCACACACACACACACACACTACTCGTGTATGTCACTTCTACAAGTGTGATACTGACAGACAGTCTAGCAGCTTTGAGCTTTAACAGCCTCATTTACACAATCTCTCTCTCACACACACCATACTTCTTTAACACCAATTTGTTTCAACTTTTTTTCAACACACACACACACTGTAAACACACACTCAAAGCTCCTAAAGTTAGCTGTGTTCAAGTTTGAGCTGTTGTCTGTGATTGTGAAGAGTTGAATACATCTGATTAAACACAGTAGGTACAATACACACTTCCCAGGCAGAATCCCATTGGAAAAGAGTGATTGATGTAGGACAGTAATTAACTCTATAATCTAATAACACACACATACACACATTTATTAGGGGATATGGTCAGTTTTTAATTGGATTTAACTCATTTTATCAATAAGTTCTGGTATGAAGTGAACTACAAGAGTTAATAATCTCCCCAGCCCAGGGTTATTAGCGGAGCTTGTTGTAGCAGTGCATTGTGGGATTGCTTTCTCCAAGATGTAACACAACTCTACTTTAGACTTCAGACAAAAGAATTTGGTTTGTGATAAATCAGTCTTTAATTACAGTCAGAACAAATAATATGCTGATCACATGATACAGCATTTAAAATTGTGTGTGTGTAACAGCCTGTTAAAGTGTTTTGTTCTGACATATTTCTTCATCGCCGAAGAATGGAGAAAAATTACAACAAATCTAGACGTGTTCATGAGCGAGATCCGGAATAATGCCTGACTGTGTTTGAGTTTATGTGTGTGTGTGTTTGATTGTACATGAGTATGTGTGTGCGTGTGTGTGTGTGTGTGAGCATCTGAGTGTGCATCTACTATCTATTTCCAGTTTCTCTCTCCTCTTGTGCTGCTCTCTGTGTGTGTGTGTGTGTGTGTGATCCTGCTGAAACTGTTACTCAGTTGGAACCCAAAGCAGAATCTATTCACACAACGAAACACACGCGTTATATCAGCGCAAACATCTCCGTTTATTCGTCCACGAACATCGCAGTGGAACTTTCACTCTCGTCCCCATAGCAACTAATGTTCCGTCAGAACGACATCATCGACAGACTCACGCCTGCACAACCGTCTGTTTAAAAATATATCTTATTATGCGCCATAGTTACATGCAAACTTTTTTTGCACTGTAACATTTTAATGCAATCAAACATTTATAGTAAAAATACAATATAATAAAGAGAAATGCAATTCTACACTGAATAGAATGCAATGAACTTGAAAACAACATTAATTGGGTTATTTTTTAATTATGGTCATGAGAATCAAAGGGTTTATTCATTATGAAAATAATTCTTGATTCAATCAAAGAGTAAATTTACACAGTTATCCACTGAGTTCATGATTGTTGTTTTGCTGTTCTGAAGTGTGTGTGTGTGTGTGTGTGTTGTGGTCTTGCTACTGACTTTGTTAATTATATTATGCGTATGTTCCTGGGAGGATTTGGCAAAGGAAAGAGTTTAACTGGCTGTTAATATTCCTTACAAGATGTTGATGTGGAAAAGTACAACAAACATTAGAGGAAAAACAAAACCACGTGACACACACACACAGGAAACAAGCCTCCGGTGCGGCGAACACATGTTTCACACAGATAATGAAGCGCTGGAGTCTGTGCTGTCCTGCATCCCTCATCAGATCTGTCTTATTAGTGGCTGGAGAGTGTTGACAACACACACACACACACACAATCCAGGGCATCACTTGTGAGAAAGTAAATCAATTAGGTTTCAAATGCAGTGTCATGAAAGCAAAGCCTTCAAAAGTCCAGCCAGCTCATATTAACACACGGTACTGAACACACACGAATCCACTACACACACACACACACACATCCACTACAGTACACACATCTGTTCTAACATCTAATCTAGCTTTATATGACCAGTTTCTGCGCTTTGTCATTCACACACACACACACACAATCCAGGGCATCACTTCTGAGAAAGTAAATCAATTAGGTTTCAAATGCAGTGTCATGAAAGCAAAGCTGATACTGAACACACACACACACACACACACACACAGTTCTGACATCTAATCTAGCTTTAGTTTAGATGTCAAGCACACCAGTTTCTGTGCTTAATGTGATTCATTAATTAAGTGATTTAATGGATGAATTAAGTTTTAATCATCGAAAATCATATCTAAAAAATAAAATTAATAAAAATTCAACAATGTTATAATCTAGTAAATTGTTAATTTATTAAATATATTAATATTTAATTAAATGTGTTAAAATGTTAACATAAATGGGGCCTTATGGTATGTATTATTATTATTTTTACAATTTCCATCTTATTTTTCCCATAAATATTTGTGCTTTGATTTAATATCCCGTATAGTTGCCAATAGAAACTGCGGTAATTTAATCAATTTATAAAACTTTACCATTTTAATTATTTTATTAATAATTTAATGCATTTTTAACGATATTAGGGCCCAATGAAAAATATCTGTTTTCATTTTTCTAGATTATGTTTTATTGATTTTTTTTATTGATCATTAATTGACACAGATTTAAAAACAGTGTAAATTATGTCACAAATTCCATTTTATTTTCCGATCTTACATTCTGTTTCAATTTTTCTAGATTTCTAAAATCTAAAAAAAAAATCTAAACTCGTTAAATTTGATTGTTATATTTTGAAGAGGATTGGGGCCAAGGCAAGCAATAATAAATAAAACCATCTCGAGATCAAAGTCATTATAATGAAAGATTAAACTTCTTGTATTTTGAGAAAAAAAGTCTAAATAAAATGTTGAGAATAAACTCATTAAATTTCAAGAATAAAGTATTTTTGTTTCGAGAAAAAAATTGTTACATTTCGAGAAAAAAAGCCTAAAAATGTTGATTCGAGAAAAAAAATCGTTAAATTTGGAGAAAAAAAGTGTAAATAAAATGTTGGTTTGAGAAAAAAAAAATTTTGTTAAATTTCCAGAAAAAAAGTCTTAATAAAATGCTGCAAAACATGTTCTAGTAGAGCACAAAAACAGCATCAAGACTATATAACAGAATAATAGGTCCCCTTTAATAGTATAGTGCGTCTGTCAAGATTTTAGTTTTTTCATAGATTCCACACACACACACACACACACACACACACACACACACAGACGATGAAAGAATGTGTGCTGCTAGCAGACAGCTGTGTGTGAGATACAGACAAAAATATGGCAAGTTACAAGCATCTTCCTGTTTGTGTATAAAAATGACATATGGAAACACCTTTAAACATTTAGGTTTGAACTGAAGTCCATTTTTTGTCAATATAAACACTCAGAGACAGAAGCCCACCTGCACACACACACACAAACAGTAAGAAATGTGTGTGTGTGCCTGTTGTGGGGAATCCCTACCAAATTCCTCAACACTGATGGCTGGGTGTGGGTCCGGGACACCCTGTGACTCACTGCCCCTAACTATTTCAACTGTTTTACACACACACACACACACACACACTGCTCAACAGTTCTGTCACAGATGATCAAACACACACCTGTAGCTGATAAATCAAGCACTGTGACTACTGAAACTGTTGCACTCAAAGACTATTTCTAAGTGAACCATGAATTACTAAAAATAGATTAAAAGCTTCCAAAATAGGTTCCAAAGAATAAATTAGAATCCAAGTTATTGGTCAACTAACCCTAATATTCCCGAAATGCATAGCGACATTCATTACAGGTGTCAGACACACACACACACCTGACCTCAAAAGTCTCTGAAGTAATTCACATCATCACAGAGTTGTTAGTTTATATAATCCGTGGTTAACTGTGTAACCGTGCTTTCATAACCATTCAACCTATACATGTTCATCAGGGAATCGAACCCATGACCTTGCCATGCCAGCATCACCTACTGTTTGAGCTCCAGGAATACAGGAACAGCTTCAGGTTCACAGGTTATATCACACAAACTCACACAGACCTGTCCAAACAAGCTTCAGCTGATCACAACATGAAGTAACATTCATGCGCGTTCACATCCACAGTGACCACAAAAAGCATTCGTACGCTTACAGCAGTTCATGAGATCACAAAACATCACAGCAAGAGCTCAACTAATGACAACACACTAATCAGACTTAATCTCATCGCATTAGATAACAAAATACAAGAGTCGTTTATTGCAAAGACAGCACAAGCACATTTCACAAGTATATCATTCGGCAAACACAGTTTTGCGTGATTATAAACAATAAAAAAAAACGCTTTAGCGTTGAAAACGGAGGAAATAAGCCACTCTGTGTTTGTTAATGTGATCAACTAGTAGCTATAGGCTAACTACAAGTGATGCTACTAACTTGACCACATTTTTAGTAGTTGCGTTTAAAACAGTGTACGTAAGCTTTTCCAGCAGCGAACTAACGTTACTTTTTTCAGTAATGTAACGCGGTGTAACTGCGATGCGTTGAAGCATTGTTGTCTCGTTAGATCACAAAGATTGTGCAAACTACAATTGTGCATTATAGCTATCTATTGTTTCATCACACATCTTGCAGCTTTACGGTTCACTGACGATTATAAGGACGTTAAGATTTCACATGAATCTACTTTTGTGCAAGACACAGATTGAAGTGAATACTGGGCTTTTCAAATTGATTAATTGTCCTGCTTTATTGCACAGATATCAAAAGTCTACTATTTCTGATTTTATGATGACCCGTCATAGTTTTGAAGTGAACCTTAAAGTTGTGTTTTGCGCCATTGCTAGCAAAGCATCAGTCGATCGAAAACAATTAGCCTATTTGTTAAAAAAAAAACAAAAAGTATTACTTTTTGATCGTAAATAACTTTTTCTGAAGGGTAGCTTGACTGTATCTTAACTTTAACTTGTAAAAGTGCAGTTTTAGAGTAGCTTCAACAGTGAACTACACCTGCTAACTAACTGCACCTGTGCTGTGTGAGAACTGACAATTCATACATGCACTGAAACCCCAAAAGCTTACTAAAAGACTTCGAGCAGCGTTTGAGCACTTGCTGTGATGTTTTGTTTTGTAATGCAGTGATAGACGCATGCGTTTCTAATACTCGTGTTCAAAAACTCACCATTTCTGCGTGTGTTTGAAGCCCTGAGCGCTTTGGAGGACATCACCTGGGCCTGTGTGGCGTAATTCTGCCCGCTCAGCACCGCGATGAGCGAGCACACGAGCACACACATGACATTGAAGCGAACTATCTGCTGCTGATCCATGATAAAGCAGAGAGACATGATCCCAGAGTTCCCAAACACTGCGTCCACGGATCCAGAGAACAGGTTCATATAAACCCAGCCACAGAATCCAAAGACTTCGACTTTATCTGCTTCTGTCCCGCTTGACCTCGAAGCTTATAATTCCTCCAGAATACTTTCAATTCCTTGAACGTTTACTGAAACTCGAGGACGCGCGATAAGTGTCCTGTTGGAAAAGTTGGCAAGAATAACGCGCGCGGTGCAGATGGATTCCCAGGGTTCACATATTAATCTCCCGCTGAAAGATCGGGGTTGGTGAGCTGCTGAATGATGGAAGAAAAAAGAAAGGAAGCCCAGTAAGGCTGGACCCCCTTCATCCAGTCAGGACGAGGAAATAACACCCGCGGGGCGCGTTTTAACAGACTGTTTGGTGAACACTTTCCCGTAACGCTGCCACTCTTTTCCTGTTTGTTGCGCCGCGAGGAAAGTTTTGAGGACTTTCCCTGTGGCGAAACAAACAAACTGCAGGACATTATTAGGGTTTTAAACCGTTTCTGAGACGTGTGTTGAAACATAAAAGTGTTTATAAAGTATAATGTGGTTTAATACGTGCTTTTTTGCTCACTTAAGGGCTTCCTGAGGAACAATTGCACCTTGACGGAAGCCCTTATCAGATGAGGACATTTCCGCTCTGGAATCTGAATTATTGGCTGACTGTGTTTGCTATGGAATAATAACTTGCTACTTTCTACACTGTATACTGCCTACAGTTAAAAAAAATAGAATTTGAATTTGAAACTATACGCACTATCTATGCAATGGTAAACGTTCCAAACAGCAACGTTCCAATTCCAAACTGTGTCATGTGACCTCAACACGTTTACTTTATTTTATTTTTATGTTTTATACTGTATGTCAGCAGTTTTTTTAGAGATGGGCATAAATACATGGAAATGTATTTAAAATAAAAATATATTTAAAGTCCCCGTGAACCGGAAGTTGCAAACGACTTTTCTCCACTGTTGTGACGTATTTCGGAGAGAAACGGAATACTAAATGAGGCAAAATAGTGGGCGTGGCTTTTTTCTAACTAGCACCTGATTGGATCTAGAAAAATGGGTGTTTCATTCTGAAATGGAGGATGACGCAAGTTTACACACGCTGTCAATCAATGCTCGCTCGGCGCTCGCAAACACACAGCAGCTGTCAGTTGGAGGGGTGTGGTTATGGATGTTAAGGAGACACCCAAACCGTAAAGCCTACGTCATCGGGCAAGGTCCTCCAATGCAGAGGGGAGGGGCATTTTCAAACTTTGATTAAAGGTTACGAAGCCAAAACATTTTTTTGTGTGGATTGACTTGCATGTATGAATTGTTCACCACAAAACGATCAATTTAGGCAAACAAAGTAAGTATGGTCAATTTTGATTTCATAGGGACTTTAAATAGAAATACAGTATTTTGTATTTTGAAAATACACAAAGTATGTGAAATTGGCCAATAGGTCACAGTGAATGAACTGACTTTTAATTCCTAACCTCTTCTCTGCCCGCTCTTTCTTTATTTCTTCCTGGCAATTACAAATAAAATTATGCAAAAAAGCAGACATTTATATACTTATTTCTGACCAGGTGATCAACAAGTAGAATTGATCGTGACATCCTCACCTTCTTCCAGAAAAAATATTTAATTACAAATTACGTATTTAAAATACATGTATCTGAAATACCAGCCAGCCTTGTATTCTGGGTACACAGTGCATACAGAAATACATGCAATTTCCAAACTTGTAATTATTTCCAGGAATTTCCCCAAGAAGACTTTTATTTTAAAAAGCAAATTACTGTATATACTGCTATTGTACAGTAAACTCACAGACTCAAGCTATTAAAATGCAATTAATTTACACAATTTTGATTGGAAATTGGATTTATAAAATGTCATTGTTTTGGTTCTGTAAATATTCCCATTATAGGCATAAAAATCATATACAGTAGTAATTCAAATGTATTTTACTATGTAAACAACAGTAGCATTACCCTTAACAATTAGATTAGACAGTTTGGATTCATAAAGTGTCAATGTTTAAACACTGAATCAATAGATTTCAAGAGGACACACAACATTACAGTACATCATGCACACATGATCCAGGTGTGGGCCTGAGTGACAGTACGAAAGCTGGTCTGATCCAGACTGTGCCCGCTTTCCCTGACCCTCAGCTGACGGAGGAGGGTGTGTGGTGATTTACCTCCTGAGGGACACTGTGTGTGTGTGTTGTGGGTAACCAGGGCCAGTGTGCACAGTGTTGACACAGAAACTCTAGCGTACATCCTGATGTTTATCTTAATATATTTGTTTCTCTCTCTCTCACTCACACACACAGGAAACAGACAGTTTATATTCTCCCTTTGCGCTAAACACACTATTGCATGGCTACACTAACAGACAATACATCAAATGAGTGTTTTATCCATTAGTTGCATGTTTAATTTTAAGTGGAGTTTGCAGAACATACTTACTGTTCCAACACTGTTAAACGTCTCACACTGTTTGTTGCAGACATGAATAATTCTCAAACTGTGTCTCTTTTAACTTCAACATCCTTGCAACCACTAAGCAATGCTCTAAAAAACACACAACATTTTAGTTACCGCATATAGCAATGCACCGAAAAAGCACCTTAGCAAACTCCCTGGCAACCATTAGCAACACCCTGGCAACCATTAAGCAATGAAAAGAAAAGCACTCAGAACACCCTAGCAACTATCAGTAAAAGTATCAGTATCTGCATAGCAATGCACTAAAAACACTCTGGCAACATCATAGCAACACCAGGGCAACCACTAATCAATAGGCTTAAAGCCACTTAGAACACCCTAGCAACCATAAAGTTTTCATACCTGCATATCAATGCACCTAAGAACTCTCTAGCAACATCATAGCAATACCCTGGCAACCACTAAACAATGCTCTGAAAACGACTTAGAACACCCAAGCAACATCATAGCAACACCCTGGAAACTAGTGTTTTGAAACCAGTGTATCCTCGATGTATTAAGGATAATCAATACATTAAAAACACTCTGGCAACATCATAGCAACACCATGGCAACCACTAATCAATAGGCTTAAAGCCACTCAGAACACCCTAGCAACCATAAAGTTTCCATACCTGCATATCAATGCACCGAAGAACTCTCTAGCAACATTATAGCAATACCCTGGCAACCACTAAACAATGCTCTGAAAACGACTTAGAACACCCAAGCAACATCATAGCAACACCCTGGAAACTAGTGTTTTGAAACCAGTGTATCCTCGATGTATTAAGGATAATCAATACATTAAAAACACTCTGGCAACATCATAGCAACACCATGGCAACCACTAATCAATAGGCTTAAAGCCACTCAGAACACCCTAGCAACCATAAAGTTTCCATACCTGCATATCAATGCACCGAAGAACTCTCTAGCAACATTATAGCAACACCCTGGCAACTACTAAACAATGCTCTGAAAACGACTTAGAACACCCAAGCAACATCATGGCAACACCCTGGAAACTAGTGTTTTGAAACCAGTGTATCCTCAATGTATTAAGGATAATCAATACATTAAAAACACTCTGGCAACATCATAGCAACACCATGGCAACCACTAATCAATAGGCTTAAAGCCACTTAGAACACCCTAGCAACCAGAAAGTTTCCATACCTGTATATCAATGCACCTAAAAACTCTCTAGCAACACCCTGGCAACCACTAAACAATGCACTGAAAACCACTTAGACCACTCAAAGCAACATCATAGCAACACCCTGGCAACCATTAAACAATGCACTGAAATCCACTTAGAACACCCAAAGCAACATCATAGCAACACCCTAGGAACCACTAAGCAATGCCCTGAAAACCACTCAGAGCAACACTATAGCAACTAGAAAGTATCCGTACCTGCATAGCAAGGCACTAAAAACACTCTGGCAACATCATAGCAACCACTAATCAATAGGCTTAAAGCCACTTAGAACACCCAAGCAAACCCATAGCAACATCCTAGCAACCACAAAGCAATGCACTGAAACCCATTCAGAACACCCTCGCAACATGACTGTAAAACCCTGGCAACCACTAAGCAATGCTATAAAAAACACTCAGAACACCATAGCAACATCATAGCAACACCCAGGCAACCACAAAACACTGCTCTGAAAACCACTCTCTAACCAGAGCATGGAAATGCATCTAAAAACAACTTAGCAACATCATAGAAACACCCTGGCAACTACAAAGCAATGCAGAGCACCCTAGCAACCACCTTGCAATGCCATAGCAACCAATTTCAACACTCATGCAACATGCATACAGATTTACCCTTCAGAATTGCATAGTAACGCCCTAGCAACCATTAGCATTGTGTGTGGTGGTCAGTTATGCATGTGCAAGCACTTCTAACGCCATAGAATAAAATGCTTTTAACTCTAGGACTACCATCCACTCTCTTTCAATCTCTCTCTCTCTATTGTCCTGAAAGAGTTAACGCTCAAACATTCTGGAATGATTCCTGGATTCCTGCAGCATTCCGCCACATTCCACGGGATTCCGCAAGGGCGACATCATAATCAAAGACGGCGGATGACAAAGACTCCCAGTGTGGCATTGGACAACTGCAAACTCCCTATTATTCACAAAGTCACACACACACACAGAAAGAGAGAGAAAGGGAGAGAGATTAACTGGCACTCAAAGAAATGTGTCTCTCTGTCTCACTGATGATGAAGAAGAGCAACATCTCACATTCATTGTCATGGAATACATATCATAATACATTGGTTTTATTTGTGTTTTTGTTGAACAGTGAATTCTGTCATTTCTTTAAACCAGCTCCTTCTCCTTTAGGTTTTCTGGCAGCACTCAGGAATCACATGATCAGTCTGGTCTGTAATTATTTAATGTGTGGTCCAGTGGTTAAAGCTCTCGAAGCCTTTAGCAAGACAATTACAGGTGAAGTGTGAAATTTATGCAGTACTACTGAAGGAAAATTACACTCGGATCTCTCCTTGCATTGAAATAGTCCTGCCCCCAAACTCTTGTCATTGGTCATGTCAGAAATCACATACTCTCTTGAGTAGGCTCTTAGTAATTTCTTCACAAACGCTAAAAATGTATGCTAGCCTCTTATCTATATATAATGCAATATGGACTTACTTCAATCGCTTTTTTTATTATTATCATGTGATCTACTCTGCAGCGCCAGAGTTTTTAGTCACATGACATTTACAGCTCAAATGATTGGCTCAAAAATGTGCGCTTACGAAATATACAAATAATTAATAATATAAAAATATTCATATTTTTTGGGGAAATCACCCAATTATGAAATATGAGAATAAACTTTAAAAATAAATGATATCAAAATCATAATCATTACTTGCAAATCAAGTGATTGTGAAATATAGGATTGAATTCTATAAAAAAAGGAGCGATACAAAAATGTGAATAAGTAGCCTAGGCTACGTGGAAATCAAGTAATTATGAAATATTAGATTATATTATAAAATCTATATAAATAATACAAAATATATCAATAATCATTTAGAGATTAAATGATGAAAAAATATAAAATATATTACTAATTGAACATTAAATCTGAAATGATATTATGAAAATATAAAAATAATACAAAATATATCAATTATATATCGATTTATTGCATATACAGTAATATACAGTAAATTTGTGTGTACAGTAGAATGTGTTTTATATTTACAAACTTTTATGCTAAATACGACGAATCAACATGACCGCTATAATAGAAGTACATGCATACTTGGAAACAAGTAATTATGAATTATGAGATTATATTACAAAAATATGAATAATAATGCCAAAATATAACCTTTCAACATGACAGACAAGAGGACAGTTTTAGTAGAATTCATTTTTCGAAATACCGCTGTTGAAGTTTCAGTATATCTACACAGCCATTTCTTCCTTTTTCTTCTTCTTTTAGTTTTTACATGTGGACAAACACGGCATTATCCTGAACAAGCTGTCCGGTTATATTCCTGTTCTCCCTGTACTGACCGTCACTGACTCTCTGACCTCAAGCTGACTGAGTGATTCTGCAAACTTTGAGATGAATGAACACTAACTCATCTCATCTCTCTCTCTCTCTCTCTCTCTAGGTACAGTGTATTAGACCCGCCAGCACATCTGGATTAATGGCAGGAAACTCTATCGCCCCCTGGAGTCCTGCGGGGTATTAGCGCACTGCTGACTTCTGTTGCATTATAGGCAATATAAACAGAGATTATAGCAGTAAACACACACTACATTGATGCAGAACCAAGAGCTGCGCGTGCGTGCGTGCGCGCGCGCGCACACTCATATCTATTCCTATCAATGATAGCTCCTCTTTCAGGATCATTTTCTCCGTGTGATTTATGGTCAGTTTGAGATGCAGTGTGAGGTTTGATAAGTAAGCTGGATAAATATATCAGTCCTTTACCGCATTCTGACTCTCCCGCGTTTATGGAGTCGCTTCTCCCTCACGCGAGATAAATCTGACAAACGGCGGGAACGAGAGAGCTCGGTCCTCATTTGAAGGCACTTAGAAACGGGCGCGCGCGTGTGTGTGTGTGTGTTATTGATTGAGGCCATTGAGTGGATTTTGTATGGTTTATGACGTCCTGATGTACGATAAATACATGAGTGTCAGTGAGTGTGTTTAGAATTTCCCTCAACAGAAAACTCGATTAGATTAACATGATGAATAAAACGTTTATGTGTGTGTGGCCTGGTAAAACCCTACATTATGGGGGACAAAATGTCACTAAGATGGCAATATGCTAAATCCTTGGCTTGACATGTTGGGTCCCCATGAGGAAGACAGCTTATAAATCAGACTACCGGTAAGTGATGTTTTTTGAAAATGTAAAAATGAAGAGTTTTGTGTGAAAGTCAGGTTCAGGTCGGGTTAGTGTGTGTGTGTGTGATGGGTAGGTTTAGGGGTTGGGTTGGAGATAATTTACAGTTTGTTGGCTAGAGTATAAAAACCCTTACATCTATGGAAAGTCCCCATAAAACATGAAAATACAATGTGTGTGTGTGTGTGTGTGGTTATCACATTAGCTTTATTTAATCAGATCTCACCTGTGTTCCTGCCAGATGGCGTTAAAAATGCTGACTAGGTACCTTAACACACACTAACACACACACAGAGAGGGAGATAATAATAATTGGATAATTCATCAGTCCATCATTTAAACTGACTCATAATTAACAAAAATCTTTATGACTGGACTCAATGCAGTTGGATAAAACTCTCAATTAGCATAATCTTTAGACAGGACTTTAGTTAAAGAGACAGGGGACATATATCTCTGTGAGTGTGTGTTAGAGAGAGAGAGAGAGAGAGAGAGTATGAGAATGAGTGTGTGTGTGTTGGAGAGAGAAGACACAACAGTGTGTGTTGGTGCAGTGACCTTGAAGGTCCATCTCTGTTCAGCTAAAGTGTGTGTCCAGCTTCTCTTTCTATAATCACACACACTTGCACACAGTGCGCTTCTACATAGACAGCTTTTTAAGGCTTCGTTAGTGTGATTAAAATGCAAAGGCTGTTCCTAAAGGTAGACAGTGACGTCGTGCTGCTTTCTAAGATGCATTATCACAACAACCTATCCATGCAGAAGACAATCCCAGAATGCATTGCAACGAGCTCAGTGAAGGTAATCCATCCTGGACGGCATGAAAAATGATAAATGCACACTACTGTTATTTGTCAAATTGTTCTGCAAGGACGCATTAAATTGATCAAAAGTGACAGTAAAGACATTACTGTTACTGTTAAAAAACATTTAGAATGTTACTAAAGATTCTATTTCAAATAAATGCAGTTCTTTTAGAACTTTCTATTTATCAAATAATCCTAATCAAATAAAACGGGTCAGTTTCCACAGAAATATGAACTCTTTTCAACACTGATAATAATCATAAATGTTTCTTGAACATCAAATGTGACACTGAAGACGTAATGATGCTGAAAATTCAGGAATGAATGACACTTTACTATATATTCACATAGAAAAAACAGTTATTCTAAATTATAATAACATTTCACAATTTTATTGTATTTTTGAGCATAGACTTTCAAAACCCCCAAACTTTTGCACTGTAGTGTAACAAACTAGATATTAATTATTTAACCCTTTGTACATGATGTGAATATGATTATCACTGCGAATCTGAAACCACAAAGAGTTTCACTGTCAAAAGAGTTTCACATCCATGACACACATCGCAACTCATCCGTCAGAACCGTCGTCAGACGCTGTTCATATATCTATAACACACTCGTTCAATATCACAGAGCTGTCCAATATCCAGAAGCTTTCAGGTTCAATTCAGGTTAATAAAACAAACAAGTAAATTGCATTTATAATAGAAGAGGAACAACAAAAAGCCTTTTTTGACAGAAATCTGAACACACTGTTCATCGTCTTCTACCAACACCTCTCAAATAACACTCTGTGTATGTGTTAATGGATCCGCTTTTGGCTCCTTATGTGGAATAGATTATTATATCTCTTTCATTTCCAGGTAGATTCATTCCAGCTGATTAGAGAGACATATGTTGTGGTATTTCTAAGTATTATTAATTAAAACAAAACTTGGTTTTGTTAACTAAAAAAAAACATTTTTTGTTAATTGAAATAAAGCTGAAATACAACTAAATTATTTCCGTTAGTTCCTTACACTCTAAAAATGCTTGGTTGTTTTAACCCAACTTTGGGTCAAATATGGACAAACCCAAATGTTGGGTTAAAAATGTCAATAAAAAAAAAGTTAACCCAATGGCTGGGTTTGTCAATTTTTGACCCAAAGTTGGGTTAAAACAACCCAGCAATTTTTAGAGAGTTTAAAGTGTAGGGCCTTCCTCATTTCTAAATATTTACTCACTGAAATTAAAATAAATCGAAACTATTTCGAAATATTGAATGAAAATTATAAAAGCACATAACAAAATGGCAAAAAAAAAATCCATTAAAATGTAAAAATAAAAATAAAATACAATTACAATAACTGATAAAATAGTATATTAGTACATTATAATAGTAATAATAGTATCATATAATAATAATATTTTATTAAATATGTATTAAGCACTGGTGCTTCAATCATTTTAATAATTTTGCTGTTGCCATTTTACTATTTTGGGATTATTTATATACACTCTAAACAATGCTGGGTTGTTTTAACCCAAATTTGGGTCAAATATGGACAAACCCAAATGGGTTCAAAATGTAAATGTGCAGTTGAAAGTGAAAGTTGACGATTTTAAATTACATTTTAACCCAACATTTGGGTTTGTCCATATTTGACCCAAATTTGGGTTGAAAAAACCCACACGTTAAAAAAATATTGTTGGTTTAACTTAAAAAATGAAGTAACCTGGTTGCCTTAAAATTTTAAGTTCATTGAAATGAAAAAAATTAGTTAATGCAAAGAAGGAGATTGATTTAATCATCAGAAACTCAAAATATTGTGTTATCTGAACTACATAAAAGAAAAAGTGTTGTGATTACAAATCATGAATTTTTTTTTACAGTGTTAGCGTGTAATATGTAATTATATTGATGCCTGTAACTTATTTACTATATTATTAGAAATAATATA